GATTCTATGATTCTATGATTCTATGAGCTCTCTTAGCGCCAGGCTGTAGAACCACCTCAGGTGGGACGGGGACAGCGATCTAACCCCAGGGGCATGTCGGGGCAGAGCGAAGGGGGCACAGGTGCTGACGCTCTGCCCTCCAGCCATGGCATGGGGGGTGATCCTCCAGCCATGCCTGGAACTGGCAGCAGGGTCCCGTGGTCTGTGCCCTCGGCAGTGCGCAGGGGTGACGGGATCCCCTCATGTCTCTCGTCTGCCCCATCTCCTCCCCCGGTTCCCACCTGCAGGTCCCCATGGAAGAGATCCCAGCCAGAGCACCTGCAGCAGCTGCTCACCACCGAGCCGTACCTGGGCGTGGCAGCGGGGTTCGCGCTGCTCTTGGTCTCCCAGCATTTACTGGCCCTTCTGCTCAGCAGGAGAGGGGCTCTCGGCGTCCTGGCAGGGGAAGGTTTGAGTGACTCCGCTGCGTTGCCTCTGCCCCTTCCTGGCGCCTGAGGGATTTCTGGAGTCTCGCTGGGCGCTGAGGCTGTGGCAGGCTGCCCGCTCCCTGGGGAGGGGTAATAGCACCTAGGGGAGCAGGCAACACACAAGAACTGCTTTAAATCCAGGCTCAGGGAACGGTGCTGGAGAACCTAGCTCCAGTCTAGACCAAGCTCTGGAAGGGTGTGGGCTCAGCTTGGCTGGCGGGCAAGCCACATTTGGGTATAAGAAAGAGGGCAGTGGGAGTGGCACAAAGGGGGTGGCACAGTGTGATTGGGGTGTCACTGTGGAGGCTGTGGTAAACATGGCCGGGGTAGGGCTGGGTCTGGACACAGGCAGGGGCAATGTCATAGTGGTAGTGCTGAGTAGGGTAGAGGGGTGTGGAGGTGGTGGTAAAAGGGCACCAGGGTGGTGGTGGGTCTGGCCAAGGCAGGGATGTTTTCGGGGGGGGGGTGTTGGGGACAATGGGGGGGAGGGTTTGAGCATTGGCCTGCTAAACCCAGGGTTGTGAGCTCAATCCTTGAGGGGGCCACTTAGGGATCTGGGGCAAAATCAGTACTTGGTCCTGCTAGTGAAGGCAGGGGGTTGGACTCAATGACCTTTCAAGGTCCCTTCCAGTTCTAGGAGATGGGATATCTCCATTAATTTATTTTATTTATTTATTTTGCCCCAGGGGCACCATGTGGCTGTGAGAGCGAGATCTCACCTGCTGACATCGCTGTACTCATCCCTGGGCGTGCGTTTGGTTACTGGCCGGCTGACACAGCGCCCCGCACTGGTGAGGGCGCTGACGGTGCAGGTGTAGGCCGTGTTGGCCCTGAGCCGGCGGGCCATGTAGGAGCGCGCCGTGCCCAGGTACACCACTTCCCCGTTCAAGCACAGCTCATAGTTAAAGAAGCGTCCCAGGGGCGCTTTGGGCACATCCCACGTCACAAAGATCTCGCTGCGCCCCAGCACTATGAGGGTTAACCTCTCCGGGGCATGGCCCCTCAGGGACATGGTCTTGGTGAGCAGGGTGGCCTTCTCTCCCTGGGCTTTGCTGGTGCATGCGCAGACGCTGAGCCGGTAGCTCGCGGAAGGGGCCAAGCCGCCCACAACACAGCTGAGTTCTGGGGTGGAGCCCACCAGGGTCTCCTCCCTATACACTGTGTAGTGTTTGATGGGGCCGCTGGGCTCGGCCGGAGGGGCCCAGCTCACTTTTAACTGGGTGGCCGTGCGAGCTGTCACGCGGAAGTCCAAGGGGCAACTGGGCACCGGTTCTTCTCTGGGCAGCACCGTAACATCGCTGCACGGCCCCCGGTCGCCCCTGGCCTCAAGGCAGAGCTGAAAGCGGTATTCCTGGCGTGGCCCGCTGCCCGCGAAGGCATAGCTGAGCGCTGGCCCTCGGTACAGCAGGGCGCCCCCCTCGTAGAGCCTGCAGACACAGCGGGAGATAACAGAACCACTCAGCAGAAGAGAACGTGGTGTCTTCTCAGGTCAGCCAAGACTAGACCCAAAGACATGCTAGGCCTGCGGACAGAGGGCCAGATTCTGCTCTCAGCCCCACTGGTCAGGGGTAGCTCCATGGCCTTCAGAGAGTTACTCTGGATTTACCCCAGTGTGACTGAGAGCCAGATCTGGCGCAAAGGGTCAATCCTCTATGGCAGCGGGCCGCATCACAACCAAGGATGGGAACGGGAGTGGACAGTGACACGGCAGGGGCATGGTTCTGGTCTGACTGGCATGGGTGTAAATCAGGAGTAACTCTGCTGAGGTCACTGAGAGGAGAACCAGGCGTTCAGTGTAAATGGGTTGTAAAACTAGTGCAGGAGGCAAAGTGGTACAACTTCCACCCACCCGGCACCCCATGGAGACCACGGAGTCAGATTCCGCTTGCAGTTGCATAACCCAAGTGTGACATTACACTCCGTATTCTTTGTGAAAATATGCTTATGATATGGCTATGACATAACTGAGATATACTTCAGGTGAGATGGCTCATGTAAGGGATCATTGGAAAGGTTATGATTTACTGAATGTAATTATCCAATTTGTATGCATGTCTCATTTCTGTATCTAAAGTTAGGAATATGGACTATGTAACAATTACAAGTGGGTGTGTATTAGGAAGACACACACCAGACGACTGGCCATCAGATTTGATGAGCCATCAGGAAGAAACAACAAAACTAAAGATACTAATCTCTCTCCCTGTTGGGAGGCGTCCTGGGACGTAACTGTGACACTACTAGGTCAGGTGGTCTTGTTACCTGATACTAAACATTATCCTGGATTTCTTGTAACTTTCCACTAAAAGGGAATGGGGGGGGGTCAAGTTTGGGAAACAAAGGATTCCCGCCTTATGTAAATCTTATTTAAGGGTGGAAGGGAAGGCAAAGGAGACTCTCTTCTATCGCCTACCCAAGAAGGAGGACTGCGGAAAGTATCTGGAGGAACAAAGGAACTAACCTGAAGGGAAAGGCAGGAGAGAGTCCAGACTGAGACAGGGTCCAGTCTATAAGAAGAAATAACTGGAACTCTGAGTTACAGAAACTCTGCATCCTGCCTAATTCAACGTTTAGGGGGAGAAATTACATTCTGTAACCTGTTTTTTTAGTGAATCAAGCTTAGTTTGTGTGTTTTAATTTATTTGCTTAGTAATCTGCTTTGTTCTGTTTGTTATCTCTTATACTCACTTAAAATCTACTCTTTCTAGTTAAAAAACTTGTTTTTTTGTTTATTCTGAAACCTAGTTTGTTCAATTCATAATTGGGGGGCGGGTAAGAGGCCGTGCATACCTTCCTCCACATTGAGGGAGGAGGCGGATTTCATAATATACCTTTGGGTTTGCACTCCAAGGGAGGTGGGCACCTGAGTGCTAGGGCAAGTCCCTTAAGCTGATCCTTCCCAGAGCTGATCTCAGTGTCTGCGTCATTCAGCAGGTGGGGGTGGCCCTGCCTGTGTGCCCTAGAGGAGGCTTAAGTAGGGTTACCATATTTCAACAATCAAAAAAGAGGACGGGAGGAGCCCCACCCTAGCCCCGCTCCCGTCCTGCCCTAGCCCTGCCCCTTCCACTCCCTCCCACTTCTTAAAGGGGGGGAACAAATCACACCAAGCATCACTCCATTGAAGTCTTACTAGTGTAAACCCAATGGAAGCTCCAAATCAAGCCCATAGATCCAGGAGAATTGTTACTCTAGATCTACAGAGCCACACCCGACAACAGAACTCGTCTCTAGGGGGTTGTGTAGAGGATAGCCCTAGGGTCATGGTGAGCCAGGCGGTTCCCCTCCTTCCCATTACACTTTATATCCCTGCACCCAAGGTCAAAGTCATCCCGCTCTGCTCAGTGCATTCCTAGAGGATACTGGACTCTCATGCTAGCACCTGTAATTGACCTCAAGGCTGCTCTGAGGCCTGAAACTTTCCCAGGCCACCTGGATGGAACCAGAATCCAGAACTTTGGCTTCCGGGGGTGAGGGTTTCGGGAGACGCCGGAGCTTGGCCAGGGTGCCGGTCACTTCCTCTAGCAGCTCTTCTCCTACTGTCTCTGAGGCAGCCACTTCCTGTGGGGAGAAAACGCTGTCTTCACTGATGCGGGCAGTACCTTGCACCAGTGTGGACAGTAACGCACAAGTAGAGCTGGACACAACATGGGGGTTTCCATAGAATTTTTTTTTTCAAGCAGAAATTTCAATATCAAAATATTTTGATTTGGAAATGATGCAGCATTGCCTCATGGGAGTTGTACTTCAGGCGCCTCATGCCTCCATTCTCCTCTACAGGCTGCGCTCATTGATCGGACTACATCTCCCATGATGCAACAAGGGCCCCTACTTGGAACAGGGGTGATACATTACGGGAGTCCCTTGCTGAGGTGCATCATGGGAGATGCAGTGCAAGCAGGGAGCCCAGCCCATTGAGGAGAATAGAAATGTGAGGTAACTGAACTACAGTTCCCACGAGGCCTTGTGACAGTGTTTCCAAATAAAAATATTGTAGGTTTCTTGATAAAAAAATCAAGCAAGAATTCTGCAGGAAAAGGAGCCACTTCTTATGAGACAATTTTGTTTAGTCGAAAACCCCATTTTCGGTCAAAAAAGAGTTTTGACGGAAAATGTTTGACCAGTCCCCTCCCTCCCCCTCAACCCCCAAACTTCCTGACTTGACTGAAGGAATAGAGCTCGGAGGGGAGTTCAAGGGGGCTGTCGGCTAGCATGGGGGAGGGGCAGGATCGTTTGTGTTTGGACAGCACCTAGCACATTCGGGATCCTCTGGAAAACAAGGGATTCATATTGTTTGATGATACACTGTGACAGATTCTGATCTTGGTGTAAATCTGAAGTGACTCCAGGGGCTGGATTCTTATCTCTGTTTCCCCGGTGTAAATCTGGAGTAACTCCAGCCAAATCAATCTTGTGACAGCAGTGAGATCTGAAACTGGTGCTCTTGATTTTACCCCAGTATCGCTGCGATCAGAATGTGGCCCGGCCTGAGCCGCTGCCCCCGTCGCATGGTGACAGTGTACCTGCAGGAGGGGTTCCAGCTCTGGGTGTTCTCGTAGTGTCATCACCCCCTTGGGCTGGCTGGCGAGCACACGCAGGGTCCTAGAAAACATGAATGGCAGCTGTTATGGGTCGTGTCCAGCGGGGGGTGGGAGAGGGGCAGCACCATAGATCGGGGGGTAAGCGAAGAGAGAAGGCTCAGCTATGGGCCGAGCCAAAGGATAAACCAGAACGCAACTGTGCAGTGGAGAAGGACCGTTCGCCCTGCGCCCACGGGTCACTCAGGGAGGCGCTGCAGGCTCCAGTGGGGGCTCACAGAAGAGGGGTAAGTGAGGGCTGAGTGATGCTCTCATCCACCAGCCGGATTCCAGCCTCTCAAATGCCTGGACCGGGGTGCACTGAAATCAGCTCCCATGAGCTTGCTGTGTGAGTCCTGTGTCATGGGCTCCCACTGGCTGTTGTGTGTGAGCTCTGTGCCAGGCACTCCTGGTGCCCTGTTGTGAGCTCTGTACCTGGCACTCCCGATGCCCTGTTGTGAGCTCTGGGCCTGACACTCCCCATGCCCTGTTGTGAGCTCTGTGCCTGGCACTCCCGGTGCCCTGTTGTGAGCGCTGTGCCTGGCACTCCCCGTGCCCTGTTGTGAGCTCTGTGCCTGGCACTCCCAGTGCCTGTTGTGAGCTCTGTGCCAGGCACTCCCGGTGCCCTGTTGTGAGCTCTGTGTCAGGCACTCCCGGTGCCTGTTGTGAGCGCTGTGCCTGGCACTCCCGGTGCCTGTTGTGAGCTCTGTGCCTGGCTCCCCCGGTGCCTGTTGTGAGCGCTGTGCCAGGCACTCCCCGTGCCCTGTTGTGAGCTCTGTGTCAGGCACTCCCGGTGCCTGTTGTGAGCGCTGTGCCAGGCACTCCCCGTGCCCTGTTGTGAGCGCTGTGCCTGGCACTCCCCGTGCCCTGTTGTGAGCTCTGTGCCAGGCACTCCCCGTGCCCTGTTGTGAGCTCTGTGCCTGGCACTCCCCGTGCCCTGTTGTGAGCTCTGTGCCTGGCACTCCCGATGCCCTGTTGTGAGCTCTGGGCCTGACACTCCCCGTGCCCTGTTGTGAGCTCCGAGCCAGGCACTCCCGGTGCCCTGTTGTGAGCTCTGTGCCTGGCACTCCCCGTGCCCTGTTGTGAGCTCTGTGCCAGGCACTCCTGGTGCCCTGTTGTGAGCTCCGAGCCAGGCACTCCCGGTGCCCTGTTGTGAGCTCTGGGCCTGACACTCCCCGTGCCCTGTTGTGAGCTCCGAGCCAGGCACTCCCGGTGCCCTGTTGTGAGCTCTGTGCCTGGCACTCCCCGTGCCCTGTTGTGAGCTCTGTGCCAGGCACTCCCGGTGCCCTGTTGTGAGCTCCGAGCCAGGCACTCCCGGTGCCCTGTTGTGATCTCTGTGCCTGGCACTCCCGGTGCCCTGTTGTGAGCTCTGGGCCAGGCACTCCCGGTGCCTGTTGTGAGCTCTGTGCCTGGCACTCCCGGTGCCTGTTGTGAGCTCTGTGCCAGGCACTCCCCGTGCCCTGTTGTGAGCTCTGTGCCAGGCACTCCCAGTGCCTGTTGTGAGCTCTGTGCCAGGCACTCCCGGTGCCTGTTGTGAGCACTGTGCCTGGCACTCCCGGTGCCCTGTTGTGAGCTCTGTGCCTGGATCTCCCGGTGCCTGTTGTGAGCTCTGTGCCTGGCACACCCGGTGCCCTGTTGTGAGCTCTGTGCCTGGATCTCCCGGTGCCTGTTGTGAGCTCTGTGCCAGGCACTCCCCGTGCCCTGTTGTGAGCTCTGTGCCAGGCACTCCCGGTGCCCTGTTGTGAGCTCTGTGTCAGGCACTCCCGGTGCCTGTTGTGAGCGCTGTGCCTGGCACTCCCGGTACCTGTTGTGAGCTCTGTGCCTGGCTCCCCACGTGCCTGTTGTGAGCGCTGTGCCAGGCACTCCCCGTGCCCTGTTGTGAGCTCTGTGCCAGGCACTCCCCGTGCCCTGTTGTGAGCTCTGTGCCAGGCACTCCCA